TCCATTCACCTTTTTACCCTTTATTAGTCTCAGCTACAAAATTATTACACCATTTACAGATTCGATTATTTACTTAATTTTACCTTTTTGGTTCATTGTTTTAGCTCTAAATGAAATTCATTTGTCTGTGGTCCTGATTTATGTGTCATGAATTTCCTCCTCTCCATTATTCCACTATTTCAAATCCTATTAATTCTCTCATTTCTCTATTCTTCCCAATTCCATACCAAATGCTTAGAAGCTATAAATTGCTATGTAAACATGAGATTCTTTTTCTCTTTCTCTTGATACTTAATGGTTTAACACTTGTCTTTAATCAAAACAATTCAACTAAAACTGATCATCTTTCTCCATAGCTGGGACCTATCTCAGATGTTCTGCTCTATTACAAAGACTTAAGAATCCTTCATTTTATTTTTCTCAGATGAAGGTTCCAAGTCATTTATTTGCCACCTTTCACAGAAATTCAACTCTGGGGGATGTTGAGATTTTGTAAGATTTGGAATAGCAAGAGAGCACTTCATAATATCCCACAGTTCAGATTCTAAATCTAAATTTTGTAAAGTCTAAAAGTTATATTCTAACCTCACTGCCTCCTCTGTGTATCATCACTCCCTTTCCTCTTACTTCTACTTCTCTCCATTATCTAGCTAGTGAGCTAGCTAGTTATACTATGCTTCCTTACAGTTTAGTGTATCTCAATTTACATCTTTTCCTTACTTCTATTCATTCTCCTTCCTTTCAGCATTCAGTATTTACTAAGCCTTATGATGTATTCTGCCCTATTCTGCCCTATTCTAGGCACTATTAAACATACAGAGACGTATAACTTGGTCACTGGTATAAAGGCTTTATACTCTAATTGGAGGAACCAAAATGTTTGATTGTGCAAATCTATTAACAAATGTTGATCTCTCCAACTGTTATCTTACGTACAGACATAATCCCCTTTCCACCTATTTGAAAGGAAATCAAAACTTGTTTTTTAATATCCAAACTTTATTAAAATGAATGATTTTTCTTTCATTCCAATTCACGATGTCCATAGAAACAAAATAGTAATCACTGGATAGAACATGGAAAGACACTTTTCAAAGAGAATTGTATATTTTCAATTTACAGAAAGTAGAACGGCTATGAAAGCTGACCCAGTGGGGCCTCACCAGAACCTCTCCCATGTCATCTTGCATAGAAACCTTGACCTATGGAAGAAGGGCTGATTCCCCTGAGTAATTTACATATAATATGTTGTAAAAAAAAGTTTTAGCTATGACTAAAGTAATGAAACTTTTTTCAGTAAAATATTTCTTTTTGTAAATTGCCTTCAAAGACTCCAAAGACATGAGATAAAGAACCTAGATACCTATACTTCACTTTTTATACAACACACACACACATACTCCACAGGTATTTTCCAACCCAACGAGTCAACTTAGAATGAATTTTGGCTACTTCCAAAAATTATTTCCTCCCTCAAAATACAGAGATTTGCCAGCATTGAGACGGTAAGAAAGAACGTGCCATGAATGAAATTCCCAATAGGAATTCCAAAAATTATTTGAGCAAAGGCAGAATCTTTGGAATAATATCATGGTTTCCTAAGGTTGCAGGGGACAATACTTACTTGAGATGCTTAAGTTCTGGTCCATTCACTAGAAATTCAGTCTCATTGTTTTACAGTTGCACTTTACAAATATAGGGTGAATATTAATGGGTATCATTATAAACTTTGTTATATAGAACAGATATGCCCCTGTCCCAGCAAACATTTAACACATTTTGTTGTTGTTGATACATGTGATTTCATGGGAGCTCGATCACGATACTCCTCTCCAGACTTTTAGATAATATTAGAGCAGGATTAAGGTAGGTCCCAATTGGTCTAGATCTAGATTAGGGGTTTTCTTTTATCTATTTTGTGTCATAGACCTCTCTGGAAGTCTGGTGAAGCCAATAGACCCCCTTCTTAGAGCTGCTGTTGTTGAGTCTTTTCAGTCGTATCCGACTCCTCCTGACCCCATTTGGGGTTTTCTTGGCAAAGAACTAGAGCGATTTGCCATTTCCCTTTTCAGCTCATTTTACAGACGAGAAACTGAAGCAAACAGGGTTAAGCGACTTACCCAGGGTCACACAGCTGATAGGTCTCTGAGGCTAGATTTTAATTCAGGTCCTCCTGACTCAGAGCTGGTGCTCTATCCACCATGTCACCTAGCTGCCCTTTCTTAGAATAGTTGCTATAAATGATTAAAGGAAATACTAAATTTTAGTGAGAAAGCAAAAATGAAGATGTAGTTTTTTCCATTCAAGTTCATGATACCTCTAGAATCTATCCATGGATCCCTTGCCAATTTGTAGATCCAAATTAAGAACTTGTGATCGAGATATATAAAGTTACACTTGTTTTCCTGGCCAAATTAAATGAAAGACTATATTTTCAATGACAAGTTTTTGAAGTGTAAAATAATTTGGTTAAATGTTGTTTCATGTTCTAATATCTACATGCATCGAATTAATATTTTTAAATTTTTTAATTATATATATAGCACATTTATTTACAATGTGTTTGTTTCAACATTAACACATAAATGGATTACCAGACCACTGTTAATTATCTTTCAGTTTAATTCTGTTCTCTAAATGCAAAAGAGAGAATAGGGCTAAATAATATTAACAACTGTAGAGTTCATGGGCAGCTAGATACATAGCAAATGAAACAATAATGCATGTCGCATTGTTTATAAACCTTACAGAACCTCCTTGCTATTCCTCCAAAAAGACACTCTATCTCCCAACCCTCTGTAATTTTACTGGCTTTCCCAGTGTCTAGAGTTCTCTCCCTCCTCATCTCTCCCTCCTGGTTTCCCTGACTTTCTTAAAATCAGCCAAAATCCCATCTTCTACAAGAAGCCTTATCTGGTCCTCCCAAATACTAGTGCCTTCCCTACCAGATTACCTCCAGTTTATCCTATATTTCCCTTGTTTGTACCTAATTGTTTGCACATTGCCTCTCTCCTTAGATTGTGAGCCCCTTGAGGACAGGAACTGTTTTTGCCTTTCTTTACATCTCTAGCACTGAGCACAGTACCTGACATATAAGCACTTAATAAATTCTTGTTGATGAGTTGGAAAAAAACAACAAGAAGAAACAAAAAACAATTGTAGAAATGGAAGGAAAGAGGTATTTAAGGGAATAAAAGCGATAGCAAAATGGACACATAAGTCATTTCTTTCTAGGAAGCACCTTCCAGTAATGTCCAGGAACTAGTTCAGATGATTCACTGACCAATGGAATGCTCTGGTACATATGCATGAGGCCATTCTCTCTCTCTCTCTCTCTCTCTCTCTCTCTCTCTCTCTCTCTCTCTCTCTCTCTCTCTCTCTCTCTCTCTCTCTGTCTCTCTCTCTCTTTCTCTCTCTCCCCGTGTGTGTGTGTGTGTGTGTGTGTGTGTGTGTGTGTAAATGGGTAAACAGATATAATGGTGCTATAGAGACAAGGTCTCAGTAGCCTCCTGAATGTGAAAGGGAGATTATGATTAATTATTTAAGACTCAATCCAGCAAAGTGAAGTGGTAAATGACACAAAAACTTCTCTTGCCTAAAATAAGCTAGATAATTGAGGGGAAAGGAGTTATTTTGGTGAATTATATGTATAGCAGTGCCAATTCTTCAGATTGATTCATTAGTCAAGACATGAATCAAATAGAGAACATTCAAAATATAGCTCACGATTTCCAAAAGCTTATATCTAAGTGAATCAGGAAGATGTGGAAGGGGGGAAATGACTGAAAAGCTCATCTTTTTACCTATGTTCCCTTAATAAAACAACATTTTCTGGATGACAGAGCTAAGGGTTTGACATTCTAGTGTAGTGCTTGGCACAGTATGAACGTTTATTAGCTTTTAAAGGATGATGGCAATGGAAAATGAGAGGCTAGAAGAAGGCTGGTGGCAATTTAATCTTCCACTTGACTCTAGAGAGGCCCAGGTAGAGGAGCTGCAGAATATCAAAATCCACCACTTTTCTTTGTAGAACTTACGTGTTTTTAAAAGAACAAACATTTAGTGAAAAGCTTGGCTTTCTGAAACAGCTCAGAGTTCCCCTACTAAGTTTCCCTTTCCTTTGACCCTAGGCCAGAATAGGATGGAAAAATCATCTCCATCTCCAATTACTTCTCCATCCTATATTCTCTGAGACTCTGGCCCCTGTGCCAGTCAGGTCTCTGCCCTCTCTGTCTTCCAGTCCTTCCTTTCTCCATTAACTTTCTCACTCCTCACCCAACTGCCTCAGTTCTGAACTATTTACATACCCCTGACTTTCCCTCAATCAAAATGGGATAAGGTTTGAAAACAGCAACTTCAAGGTACATGTAACACAGGGTAGTTGTGAGGCTCAAATGAAATAAATTCCAATTTTAAAGCACTATAAAAATGCAAGTGGCTGTCATCATCATCATCATCATCATGACTGGAATTTGTATTATCAGTCCTCTAGTTCCCTCAGGAAAAGATCAAACAAAAAAAAGAAATATATTTTTTAATACATTAAAAAATTTTTATTACTACCTTTTGTTTTTATGTCATTTATTTCCACATATACCTGTACCCCTGTCCTACCCAGAAGGCAAACTAATATACTTTGAAACACATGTCGAAGTTTATTACAAATATTTAAGACTATGTTCAAATTCAATGCTGTACACAGACAAAGTTCTTCACTTACTCATGGATGTGCCACTTTGACCCACTATGGTCCATCCAGATTATAGAAAGCCTTGAAATGTAGGTAGGAGTTGATTACCTGAAGGCCAAGCACGATGTGATGAGGGCCTAGGCCAGGGTGGCGGCAGCAGGAATGGCTGAATCTGAGAGACCGCGTAAAGGTTGATGGAGAGAGAGGGAGCAAAGACAACTATACATGCCTGAGAGACTGAAATAAAAGCCATGCCTTTAATGGATAAGTAGGGAAGGGTTTGGACAAGATGATTATAAACCAGATTCTTGTTCACGTACAGGCTGGATTAGGTGGCCTCTGAGATCACTTTCAATCCTGTCATTCTGTGAATTCCTTACCAGGAACTACTGTTGCTGTTCTGCCTCTGATGTCCTCACCTCAGATAGGTGGCCTACTACTCCTCTTTCCAGGACCCCAATCAACTCCTCTGGGAGCTGGCCTGCAGGGGAAATAAAAAGTCCAAGAAGTAGGGGCAACAATGCTTCAGTGACTTATTTTTCTGCTTTCCCACTTTCTGCTCATATATTCTTTTACGCTCTTATAGATTCCTTACCCCTGACCATTAAGCTTGGGACAAATATTTTCCCCTTACTCTCATCCTCCTGCAGAATCTTCTCTTGTTTCTGACAGCCACTAATTCCTAATAACTGTGCCCACTCATCAGTTCCCTTGATAGCCTTTAGCATAAGTTAGGCTCTCCACCTTTCCTCCCTTCCTGGTTCCTTAATTTGACCAGTTATCTGCTGGATACCCACACCCCACTGCTGATACATGTTTGAGTATTATTATATCCAAGTGGAGATGGTCTCTGAGCAGCCAGAGCTATGTGGGACTGGAGCATGGATCAGGGATTGGGACTGGAGATGTAGATTTTGGAGTTAGAATCACAGACTCTAGAGTTGGTTTAGAATTGGTGGGGAGATTAGAGATTATCTCAGTGAATCAAGGTCAGGAGAGAAGAGGCCTTAGAAGTCATCCATTTCAGCCTTGTATTTAATTCAAAAATTCCTTCTATGGTATCTCTTATTCAGCCTTTGTTTGAATACTCCCAATGACAAGGAATTCACTATTGAAGCAGACTGTTCCATTGGAAGATGGCTCTAATTATTACAAAGCTCTTATTTATGTTGATCCCAAATCTCCTTTCCTGTAACTTCCATCCGTTAGTCCTGATTCTGTGCTCTGAAGCAACATAGAAGAAATTTATTCCCTCTACTATTTGATATTTTTTCAAATTTTTCAAAATGGCTATTATATCTCACCTCATTCTTCTCCCCTACTAGCTAAGTGACCACACTTCCTTCAACTGCTTTTCATATGTCATGGTGTTTTGACTCCTCACTATCCCTATGACCTTCTGGCCACATTGCAGTTTGTCAAAATCCCCCTTCAAATACAGTACCCAGAAATGAACACAGTGTTAGAGATGTGATCTGACCCCCAGATGTGAGCATAGCCCACCCTGGTTCCTAGCAGCTCCTCACAATCTGCTAAAGTCAGTGGGACAACTTGAACCAAATATAGGTCAAAACTTGGGATTTTTGTACAGAAAATCCAAGTCAATCTATATGCTAAGTTGACTTACACCTTGCATGTATGATAAATTGGCTGTTAAATGGACAGGGATTTATGAGGGCATCTATTACATGGTATTTTTTCATTAAATAAGAAGTAGTATGTCCATACTAACAAAGCAATGTTTGTTCTCTGTTGGCAAATGGCCCAAGCTTCAGCTTCATCTCACAGACAGGGATGTTTTAATGAGGATTGTTTCAACGGACTGCTACCTATAATTCATGGATAACAAACACAATTTGCCTAATTCTCCCTGTTGTACTGGGGAACACGTAATTTCTGAGTATAGAAGGAGGTTTCCCTTCCCATCTACTTCCCATCTCTTCTCATACTGAGCTCATTTGGCTGCTGGCTAAGACATTTTTGTAAACACTCTCTAAGAAGGAGCATTAAAATGAGAGCTGTCATAGAACTGCCCCAGAGGAAGATTCCAGGCTTGTGCAAGCTAGAGCAAAGGTAGCAGAGATACCATTTCCTCTACAGAACATAGAAGAAAAACCAAATTCATTATGTGTCAGACACTTTGCTAAATGCATAGATAAAGACAGAAGATAGCCCCTGTTCTGAGGAGCTCGAGGGCTATACAAACTCACAGATCCTGCCTTTCTGCTCTGTGAGTTAGAGAAGGAAGTTCATTTGCATAGTATTAATATATAGTGGAAGTCTCTTATGGTATAGGTGTCAGAGGACAGTACCAAAGCATTTTACAGGTCGGCAATGTTAGATCAAGTTTTTTTGATGTCTTTATATTTGAAAGTCATGATCTGATCCATTTCTAAATCCATGTATTATGATAATATGTATCATGGCAGGCCTTTGTTATATCAATCAACAAACATCTATTAAGTACCTTCTATGTGGTATAGGGGTAGCTAAGTGATGCAGTGGATAAAGTGCTGGCTCTGAAGTCACAAGACCCAAGTTCAGATTTGACCTCAGACACTTACTAGCAGTGTGTCCCTAAGCAAGTCACTTAACCCTGTTTGCCTCAGTTTCCTCATCTGTAAAATGAGCTGGTGAAGGAAATGGCAAACCACTCCAGTATCTTTGCCAAAAAAAACTCTAAATGCAGTCATGGAGAGTTGAACACAACTGAAAATGACTGAACAACACAGAAAGGACCATAAATGCCCATTCTGTGCCAGGCACATTTCTAGGTGCTAGGGATACCAAGACAAAAAAATGAACAGTCCTCAAAGAACTTGCATTCTATGAAGGGAAATGGAAGGCACATGTGTGAGTATACACCAGATATATAAAAATTAAATATCAGGTAACTTCAAGGGGGGGCATAAGTGGCTAAGAAAATCAGGAAAAGATCTCATAGAGAGGACAGTGTTTGTGCTAAACTTCAAAGGAAACTATGGTTTCTACAAAGCAGAGAAAAGGCACGAAGTTGGGAGATGGAATGTTATATATGACATACAGCAAGAAGTCCAGTCTGACTGAAACATAGAGCACATGGAAGAGAATAACATAAAAAAGCCTGGAAAGGTGGGTTGGAGCCGGGTTTTGAAGGGCTTTAGAACATCTTGAAAGAAAATAGCCAAAAATGGGCTAGAGCTTTATTCAATTTATATAAAGTGATATTCTATACTGTTTATGTCCACAGACGATAGTATATAAAACTGTGTTTAAAATATGGAACAACCTCAATTGCCTCCAAAAGACAGGTGAGATGAAAATCTGATCCTGAAAGTCGATATTAAGAAATAACAGCATATTTTTTTTAAAAAAATCAATCAACAAACATATATTACGTACCCTCTATGTGGCATAGGGATGTAGTGGCCAGACACGGTTGGTGCGTGCCTGTAATCTCTGCTGCTGAAAAGGCTAAGGCTGGTGCTTCGCCCAAACTCAGGACTTCTGAGCTGCAATAGGACTAAAGCTGATTGGATACCTATAAGTAAGTTTGATACCAGTTTGGGAGCCTCTAGGGGCCATGTTCCCTAAGGAGGGGCAATCTGGCCAATGTCAGAAAAATAAAGCAGGTGAAAGCTTCTGTGACGACGTATGTTAGAATTGGACCTGTGAGTAGTTGCTATACTTCCAGCTTAGGGAGACCTAGCATTTTATTTTTCATAGTGTACAACATCATATGCTATAGATCTAGAACTTCATTAACTCCACATGTAGAGTTTAAAGACTGTCGTGATTGTTACTGCCTTATTCAGTGGACATCATCCATATAGTCCCCCAAGACTTGAATATAATGTTTGTTTTTTATCATGTAAATATTTAGGCCAAATTCTACCCACAAATGTCCAATTTGTCAGTCTCCTTGAGAACTGGTTGGGCAGAAGTAGAACACGTGATGGGAGTTGTTTACTCTGGCAACTTGGAATGTCTGATTTGAAATTACAGGCATACTCTTGGGCAACTTTTGCACAATAGCAGGACTGGGAACAATTTCCATGCATGTCTTTATCTTTTCCTCCTCCATCTTGACCACTAGAGAATGTGTCAACATCAGACAGATCAAAGGTCCCCAGCTGCAGAAAGCTGCTAGAGATGGTTACAATGGCACACTTTAATGACTTAGTCACTGATGACTGACTAATCTTGCTATTTTCTGAAACCATAAGGTGAGATCTTAACTGGGTTAGTCCTTAGAGAACAGACATGGGGCTTATCCTCAGTCTCTCTAGCTTGGTAGGACCTGACAGAGCTATCCCCAGAGGTTTGGCCATAGATGAAGAATACTTTCAGTGACACCAACTTACAAAGAACTGTCTGCAAAGGTATAGAGGGGTTGTGATCTGTGCCAGGGGAAGCAGGCTCACACTGATGAAATCTTGGTCATCTGAAACACTGAAATGTTAAAATGTGAGGTGAGAAGCCATTATATAGGGAATTCATCTCAAAACAAAAATCCCTTAAATTTCTTTCCCACAACTTTGGAGCTAAAACAGGGACCATTCTCTATGCTGCCACAGGGTGCAAGGGATTTCCTTTACCCTGTAAACCATCTTCCCCCTCCTACCTATGCTGGTGCATCAACAAGCCAGGTCTTGGCACATTAATGCTCTCTGCAGGTTTCAAACTTATGTAGTCATTTTGTCTTGCTCCCCTAAATCCCACCCCGCTCCCCAACCAGAGAATAAAGCACAGTTTCATTCACCCTATTCTTTCCACTACACTGAGGAGGAAGGGAATCCAGATTGAAGAAGGGAAGTAATGATAATACTAGAGTGATACTGTAAAGCTAGGAGAGACTGAATCAGTGTAGTGCCGAGAATTTCTTGAGAAGAGCAGACCCCAAAAGGCAAGACAGCTGTATTTTAAGGTTGTAGTGAGTTGCTAGTTATATGACCCATCTCAATTTATCTTCCTCCCTTCCAGTGAGTAAGAAAAGGTCCTCTCTAGTTGTCAAATAGAAACAGATGGAAACAAAGCTCCTTTTCAGACGCTGAAAGGGATAGGGTATTTGTGTTAGAGAATTCAAATGATCAAAATCTCTGCTTTGTGATGGGGGAGATGAAAGCACTAAAAGAGAAAAAAGATTTTGTTCATTGTTTCATTGTTTCTGGGGAATGATTATATTGCCACTGCTTCCCTGTAATAATTGTAGTAGTAATGACCATATTATGAACCAAATTAGGTTTATAGAACTTCCAGTGTTGGAACAGCTCTTATAGGTGATGACCATCTATCCTAACCTCATATATTAATGCTCTTCACAACAAACTGGATGAATCGTCAATCACTCAACTTCTGCTCAGACATCTCCAATGATGGCAAGCTCACTACCTCATTAGGCAACCAGTTCCATTTTTGGATAGCTGTTATGATTTGGAAATTCTTCTTTTGGCTGAGACAAATTTTTATTCTTTTTACTCCCCAATGCTCCTAATTATTCCCTCTGGAATCATACCTTATAAGTTTCCTCCTTCTTCCAAGATAGCTTTTCAGATATTTGAGAACAACAATCAGCTCTACTCCTCCCCCACTTAAGTTTGGCTAAGGTCATGTCTAAGTTTTTTCTTTGGTAGTAAAATAACCCCATGCTTTTCCTCTTATAACATGGCTTTAGCCATCCCAGTTGCCCTTCTCTGTGCATTCTCCAATTTGTCATTGTCACTCTTTAAAGGTCTCTTGGGCTCTATGGTAACTCAAGTCTAATTCCACGGTGATGAAATCTGGATGCCCTTCACAGTCTTCTATAATTTTGCTGTTCCAGGTTTCAATATGGCACACAGGAGTCTGCTCTTAGGCAAATACTTTTTTTCTCAGCTGCCTGGCTCTGTCATCGTGCATCACTTTACCCTTAGCCCACCGGCTAAGGATACTGAAAGCCTATTGTGTATTTGCGCTTCCCCACCAAAGTCCCAGTAAGAAACAAGTGTTCCTTATCTGTTCCCAAAGTTCTCTCTCTCTCTCTCTCTCTCTCTCTCTCTCTCTCTCTCTCTCTCTCTCTCTCTCTCTCTCTCTCAAGATTGCTGTCTCCTTCCCCCTGCCCTGGAGTCCCACATGGTTTGGCTCCAGCCGAAGCAGCTCACCTTCTCTTGCCCCTCTCCCAGCTCTTTCCAGTCTCTGGAAGGAGATGACATCTTTCCGTTGGTTGAGCCCTTGACAAACTATTGACATGTAGGCCTTGAGGCATGGCCAAGACAGACTCCCCTAAATCTGAGCCTCCTCCTACAAAGGCTTCTTCTCCCAGAGGCTCTCGATCCCTTGTCCTAAACCTATATTCCTGAAGTGGATCCACCCTTAGGTCCCCACTATTGGCTAAGCTAAGGTGACAGACAAACCAAAGAGCTACTAGAGGCTGGACATTTTTCCCTGGTCCTCAGCTAGAGATCCAATCACTTTCTCTTTTTAGGGTCTAGTATCATTATCCTCATTTGGGCCACTCTCCACCCCCACTCTCCCATGGATCTCTAAAGCCACTGGTAAGAATTCATGGTTTATTGAAATATCAACATAGTCTTACCCCATGACCCACTAGAAATACTTCATTGACTTGTTGTTGTTCTCCTGTGTTTATTTCTTTGTCAGATAATGATGGAGCCCTTGGGCTTAAAACCATGGGAAAAAGTAGATGGGGGCCAGATTGGGGGTGGGGAGCTGGGGGATTAATCAAAACACTTTAAGGAAAGGACATAAGAATCACGGAATCTTAGAGCTGGAGGAACATTAAGAGATCATCTGGCACAACTCTCAGTTTTACAGAGAAGGAAACTGAGGCTCAGAGAAATATAGTGATTTGCCCATTGTAGCATTACTAAGAGAGTTGGAGCAGAGCCCCACGTGAAGGCCTTTGCTCTTTTTTTACCTCACAGGACCTCTGAGAGTGGAGTCCAAAGTAAGGGCTCACACCCTCAACCCTGAACCTGAGTCCTCTGCTGACTGAGCTAGTCATTTTGACATAAGAATTGACAGAGAGAATCAGGCCCACAGTTCACTCAAATCACAACTCTATTTCTGGCAGGGACACCCAGGGACATCTTGAGGAAGATCATTATTGTCCTCCTTGATGGTAACCTCAGGGACATTCCCTGAACGTTCTAGCTTCTATCTGAAACCATCATGTCATCTATTAATTTAGCTAAAAATCTTTTTGAAGCTACATTTTCAACCAGAACCACCTTTAGGGGTATAAGTTCCAGAAACTTACTGCCTAAATTCTTATCGCACAGTGTTGTTGTATGGAAAATGCTCAGTAAAACTTAAAGCAACATAGAAATGTGAGTTATTTTTTTAAAGGAACTGTAATTTAATTGCTAAGAAACTTCTAATTAATAAACTCTCTCTCCCCATAGAGAGTGGTACCTGCTCAGCAGTTTATGGTCAGTAATAATGAGGTGCCCAGGGCACTGAGAAGTTGAATGACTCACCTAGTATCACACAGCCAGTGTATTCTGAAGTGGGACTTGAATCCAGAGCTTCCTGACGGGGAGGCCTGCTCTCCATCCATATGCCACATGGCTTCTTCCAGATTAATACTTTTACTGTGTAAAATTAGCCCATTTTTGTCTGTAAGTTTCTACTCCAGAATATCTGAAATGTTCTTTAAAGAGCTCGCCATTGTGTTGTGGTTGATAGTGTATATTACATTTAATAAGTGGCTTTTAAAATGTTTCCTGATTCTGAATGTGGATGTCAGTTTGACAAAATGCCAGTGGTGCTTGCATTGTTTAAGAAGAAAATGGGCTTATGGTTTTTTGCTTCATCCTTCATTTTATGCTTGACTTCCCTCTCAAAAAAATGTTTAATGACTACTTATTTAACTGGTACAGATGGCTTGGCCGCTTGTCTTCTCACCTGACCACTTAACATGCTACCTTATTGGTTCATCCCTGGCCACCTGGTCAGGAACCCCACTGGCTAGTCAGATGCTGCTCTGGTTGTCAGAAATCCCAAGCAGAGGAATTTCTGGAATAATTTTCTACTCCAAGCTATTGGTTTTGCTCATTGAGTGGTCTTGCCTTCCTCGAATGTAACTTCAACTGTAACTTTTGAGCATAAGGATAAATGTTTGTGTGCAGTGAGAGCTATTAAATGTGTGTGTGTGTGTGTGTGTGTGTGTGTGTGTGTGTGTGAGAGAGAGAGAGAGACAGAGACAGAGACAGAGACAGAGAGACAGAGAGACAGAGACAGAGACAGAGAGAGAGAGAGACAAAGAGACAGAGAGAGAGACAGAGAGACACGGAGAGACAGACAGACAGAGAGGCAGAGACAGAGAGAGATACCGAGACACACAGAGACAGAGGGAGGGAGACAGACAGACAGACAGACAGAGACAGACAGACAGAGATACGGAGACACAGAGAGAGAGAGAGGAGGAGGAGGAGAGAGAGAGAGAGAGAGAGAGAAAGAGAAAGTGTGTGTGTCAGAGAGACAGAAACAGAGAGATATCGAGACACAGAGAGAGAGAAAGACAAAGAGGGAGAGATACAGAGAGAGAGAGAAAGTGTGTGTGTCAGAGAGACAGAAACAGAGAGATACCGAGACACAGAAAGGGAGAGAGAGACAAAGAGAGAGAGAGAGAGAGAGAGAGAGAGAGAGAGAAGAGAGAGAGAGAGAGAGAGAAAGTATGTGTGTATGTGTGTGTATGAGAGAGAGAGACAGAGAGAGACAGAGACAGAGAGATGGAGAGACAGACAGAGACAGAGAGAGATACCAAGACACAGAGAGGGAGGGAGAGAGAGACAGAGACAGACAGACAGACAGAGAGGCAGAGACAGAGAGAGACAGAGACAGAGAGACAGAGAAAGAGACAGAGAGAGATACAGAGACACAGAGAAAGAGGGAGAGAGAGAGAGAGAGAGAGAGAGAGAGAGAGAGAGAGAGAGAGAGAGAGAGAGAGAGAGAGAGAGAAAGTGTGTGTGTCAGAGAGACAGAAACAGAGAGATATCGAGACACAGAGAGGGAGAGAAAGACAAAGAGGGAGAGATACAGAGAGAGAGAGAGAGAGAGAGAGAGAGAGAGAGGAGATGTGTGTGTGTGTGTGTGTGTGTGTGTGTGTGTGTGTGTGTGTGTGTGTGTGTGTGTACAAGACAGTGAGGGAGATGGATCAGCACATGTGCTACAAGCTTTTTATAGCTAGACAATTTGGGGTTGCAAAAGCTGCTTCAGAAATTACCCGAAAGAATACATCATAGGAGGCAGGCAGCAGGTGTTTTCCATACTGAGCACAGGGATTAGAGACAGAAAACCTGGTGATGGTTGCCGTTTTCACAGCTACAAATTTCAAACCATATTTCTTCTCTGCAGGTTGTTCACATCAAATTCCTTTGATGTAATCAGCGATGACGCTTTCATCGGCCTCCCTCACCTTGAGTACCTGTAAGTGAGCCTCTTGGGTTTCTCATCACAATTCAGTACACGAGCTTCCCAGCTGCTGTCGTTGTTTGACTAAAAAGTTATAACCTGTTGCAGATTCATAGAAAACAACAACATCAAGTCAATCTCAAGACATAGTTTTCGGGGCCTAAAGTCTTTAATCCACCTGTAAGTACAGAGGTTGTGTGTTACTTCTTCTTCTTCTTGATGATTGAATATTCAGTCAACTCTCTGGTTATTTGTGTAGGGATCATCCAGAATATTATGGGTCATTTTAAAATCTGGACCATCTCCTGTCTTCTCCTGCATCTAATGTGCATTCATTTGGGTGTTCTGAAGCGATTAAAAATTAATTTGAATATTGGTCTAAAGAATGTGATTCTTACAAAGAAACCATGAGGAAAAAAATAATTTTGGAGTTGCCAAAATCACAGCCCACCTCTGTCAGCCTGGATAATTGAGGATTGACCGTTGAAATCTTTGATTTTGCTTTTATTCTCCAATCTGTGTAAACCTGAACTTGGTATTAACTCATATTAAAAATGTAGCTTCAGCACATGTCTATATAGCACATAAACAAGTGGCTGAAAAAGTACAAAACAAATTCATCCTCATGGCTGCTTTTTCTGAATGATGCCAAGCAAACTTGTTCTGGGTAGAATTTATAATCAAACCAAAACTCTATTCGTGCCTCACAGATACTTCCTCAGTAAGTGAATTACTTAGAGAGTCATATGAGCCTTGAACTACATCCTGGAATAAGATGACAGGGTTTTAGAGCAGGGAGGGACCTGGAAGACAGTCCAGCCTCCTCCTTTTACAGACACTAATGAGAGCTAACACTCTTCTACTACCTTCAAGTTGCAAAATGTTTTCCATACATTGTTTTCCTTTGACCATCACAACCACCTTGTAAGGTAAGTCCTCTGGGCATTATCCCCATTTTAGAGATTAGAAAATTGATGCTTAAGTTAAAGGATTTGCCCATGGTCACACAACAGGAAAAAGGTCAGAATTGGGATTCAGACCCCAGTCTTCCTGACTTCAAGTCTGTTGCTTTATATTCTATACTTGATTGCCTCTTCAGGAAGATCCTACAGCAGAAAAATGACTTAGGACCCAACATGTTAAAAATCATATTTCGAGATAAATTCAGAAACAATATCTAAAAGTAAAAATGGAAATGAGGTCATTGTTTATGAATTCATTACTGATGCAAACTATGTATACTTCTCGAGAGTAGGTACTATTTCCTGGGGCAGCTGGGTGGCTCAGTGGATTCAGCGCAGGACCTAGAGTCAAGAAGACCTAAGTTCAAGTCCCGCTTCCATCACTTACTGGATGTGTGTCCCTAGACAAGTCACTTAACCATTGTATGCCTCAGTTTCCCCATCTGTAAAAGGACGAAAATAATAGCACCTACATCCCAGGGTTGTTGTGAGGATCAAGTGAGATAATATTTGTAAAGTGCCTGGCACATAGTAGTACTTAATAAATGCATGTTTTCCTCCTTTTGTCTTTTTACATAATAAATAGAGGTGGCTGGGTGGTACCTTAAATAAAGTACTGGACCTGGAGTCAGAGAGACCTGAGTTCAAATCCAGCTTCAGATACTTCATATGTGACCCTGAGCAAGTCACTTAACCTCACTTTGCCTCAGTTTTCTCATCAGCAAAATGGGAATAATAACAGCACCTACCTCCCAGGATTACTGTGAGGATCAGATGAGATAATATTTGTAATATCTTAAAGTGCCACATAAATGCTAGCTTTTATTTTATCTCTAACACCTAGATAGTGCCTTGCACACAATAGATACTTAATCAGTGTTTCTCATTGAATTGAATGGGGCCCTAGATAGAATTACAAAGCACCTCTGCAGTTGGTCTGAGCCTAACTCAGCAAACTGGTGATA